ACTGGAGCTTAGGAAGTTGAGGGTGGCCTACATAGGGATTTATAAAATCAGGTGGGGTATGGATAAAGTGGCATTTTTTCCCCTAATATGGGATCCAAGACTAGGGGGTATATTTTTAAGGCGAGAGGAGAAGGATTTAAAAAGACATGAGGGGCAGTTATTTTTACGGAGTGGTTCATACGTGGAATGGACTTCCAGAGGAATTGGTAGATGTAGGTACAGTTTCAATGTTTAAAAGACATTTGGATAAGCACATAAGAAATGTATAGAGGGATATGGGCCAAAGCTCGTATAGGTGGAACTAATTTGTTTGGGATTATGGTCGGCATGGACTGCTTGGACCGAACAGTCTATTCCATGCTGTATGACTCTATCACCTGACAAGCCTCATAAATGCACATGGAATATAAGAAACTTCCTCCTTAATAGCATTGTGAATGGGCCTTCACTTCAGAGATGGCAATGTGATGACTCACCATCACATTCTGAAGAGCAATTAAAGATGGGCAATAAATGTTGATCTAGCCATCAACAGCCACATCCTGTGAATAAATTAATGCCAAAATATTTGTTATTCCAGGAAGTTACCTGTGGGGACTGGGCAGAATCCCTAGCATACTCCAAAGGAATTGCCCAGGGAGTTAAATTTTGCATTTTGCAATTCCAATACGTTTGGAATCCTCTGAAACTCTCCCTAGGGCAGGACCCAATATGAGCCCCGTCCCACCAGACCTGAGCACCCCTCCACCCCCAAAGTTCCAACATCCACATTCCTCATCCACCATTGGACCCAATCTCTGCCACTCACCCTGACGTATCCTAAACACAGCATCACTAGTGAATCAAGGAGTGTAAACCTCTGCAGTACTGTGTTCTAGGACTTGCATTTTAGAGATTATTTCATCAGAAATATTTGAAGTAAAACAAACTGTCAAAGCTATTAGAGATAACAAGGTGTAGAGCTGGATGAACACAGCAGGCCAAGCAGCAGCATAGGAGCAGGAAGGCTGACATTTCGGGCCTAGACCCTTTTTTCTGATGAAGGATCTAGGCCCGAAACGTCAGCCTTCCTGCTCCTATGATGCTGCTTGGCCTGCTGTGTTCATCCAGCTCTACACCTTGTTATCTCAGATTCTCCAGCATCTGCAGTTCCTACTATCTCCGTCAAAGCTATTATTCAAGTCCAGCATTCAAACTGCTGCTCGAGTACCACTCGCTGGTGTGTTAATGCAGTTTGTTTGCACCATCTGCTGGTAACATTTAAGGACTGCAACTATTTTCCGAGGTTATTAAGTATTTTGTTAGTGCAATATGTTACATCATGAATATTAGTGGGTTGGAAGAACTATTTGACAACGTAAACCAGGCATCAAGAAAATGAAGTTTCTATTTTCTGGTCAATGGAGCTCTTAACGATGTATCAATTCTTCTCAGTTCTCCAGTTAGATGTTTTTCCCTCAAAAGTGAGCATGATCTCCACTTCTGTAATTAAAGTTTAGTTCTTTGAGGTCTGCTCTAATGTTTCAGCACTGTTCCCAAAGATTGTCCTGAGTGTCATCATGCACTCAGATGGCCCAGTGGCCCCTGTGTGTATCAGATATTTGTGTATGGCTTGTCATAGCAACTGATCCAAATTAGAAACAGAGCCATGGCTTCCCCTTGCTGCTCCTTGCCACCAGAGACAGAGATTTGTTGCCTCCAGCTGCAAAAACTTGAGCTCTGGGTTTCAGAACTCGAGCAGCAGCTGGAGTCACTGGTACATTGCAAAGCTGATAACTGTGGACAATTCATCAAAATGGTTACAGTGCAAATTAAGGCTAGGCAGTCAGGAGGGAATGCTAAGCAATATAGAAAGACCAGGCAGGTAGACCAGCAGTTCCCTGAGTCTGAAAACAAAAAAAGTGCTGGAGATCACAGCGGGTCAGGCAGCATCCATGGAGAGAGAGCAAGCTAATGTTTTGAGTCTAGATGACTCTTCATCGGAGCAAAAGTGAAGTGTGGAGGGGCAGCATTTATGCAACGGTGGGGCTAGTGTGGTGTGTAGTGCTGGGCGAGAAAGGGTGTTGATAGTTCAGATTTTTTCACTTTATCTGAACTTGGAATACTGCGTACAGTTCTGGTCGCCACATTACCAAAAGGATGTGGCTGCTTTAGAGAGGGTGCAGAGGAGGTTCACCAGGATGTTGCCTGGTATGGAGGGCGCTAGCTATGAAGAGAGGTTGAGTAGATTAGGATTATTTACGTTAGAAAGACGGAGGTTGAGGGGGGACCTGATTGAGGTCTACAAAATCATGAGAGGTATAGACAGGGTGGATAGCAAGAAGCTTTTTCCCCAGAGTGGGGGACTCAATTACTAGGGGTCACGATTTCAAGGTGAGAGGGAAAACGTTTAAGGGAGATATGCGTGGAAAGATCTTTACGCAGAGGGTGGTGGGTGCCTGGAATGCGTTGCCAGCAGAGGTGGTAGAGGCGGGCACGATAGCGTCATTTAAGATGCATCTAGACAGATACATGAATGGGCAGGGAGCAGAGGATTACAGATCCTTGGAAAATAGGTGACAGGTTTAGATAGGGGATCTGGATCGGCGCAGGCTTGGAGGCCTGAAGGGCCTGTATCTGTGCTGTAATTTTCTTTGTTCTATCAACATCCTTTCTCTCCCAGCACTCCAAACCCCGTTTCCCCCCTTTGCCTCAGTACTGGACCTTCCACACTTCATTCCAGCTCTGATGAAGAGACATTTAGACACTCACCATTAGCTTGCTCCCTCTCCATGGATGCTGCCAGACCTGCTGTGATCTCTAGCATTTTTGTTTTAGTACAGATTCCACCATCTGCAGTAGTTTGCTCCTCATTCCCCGAGTCTATCTTGCTCACTAACTTCTTTCATTTTGGGTACTGATGAGGATGATGGCTCATCAAAAGAGTATTGTAATGCCACAAACTTGGCACTCAAAAGTTACCTCAGTTGGACCGATGGCTGAGGGCAGGAGCAGAAGAAGAGTGGAAGGGCAATTGTGGTATTATTTAATAGTTGGTGGAACCAGACACACATTTCTGTGGCTGTGGATGTAATCCCAAGGTGGAATATTGCCTCCCTTGCACCAGGGTTAAGGATGTCAAAGGGTGGCTGCAGGATATTACTTAGAGGGAGGTTGGAGAGGCAGATATTACGCTCAGCATTGGCAATAATTAACCAGTGGGATGAGGTCCTAAAAAGAAAATTTAGGTAAGAGATTGAAAAGCAGGACCTGTAAGGTAGTAGTCACAAGATTGCTCCCCAACACATTGTAGAAATGAGTATAGAAGCAGGAAGATTGCGCAAATAAACAAATAGCTGGAAAATTCGTGCAGTAAAAAGGAGTTTGTATTTGTGGGACATTGGGACTGATTCTGAGGCAGGTGGAATTTATACAAGGAGATGGGTTACACATAGCAGGATTGGAACTAATATTCTTGCAGGTAGATTTTCTGGTGCTGACAGGAGATTTAAACTAGTTTTTCAGAGGGATGGAAACATAAGTTGGAATTCACATAGAGTAAAATCAAGACCAAGACTGAGAACTGAATATGAATGGGTATTTGACATTTAGGAGAGATGGGGAAAAAGGAAGAGGAGGTGGAGTCGTGTGCTTAGAGGGTGGGATCAATCTATTAGTGAGAACATCTCCGAACTGAAGAACAGGCTGGAAGATCTGTTCGGGCAGAGTTGGGAAATAGCAAGGGCAGCAACATTGGTTGGGGCTGTTTTTAGGCCACTAAACAGTAGCGGTCGTGCAGTTCAAGGTATAAATCTGGAAATTAGAAGTCCATGTAGCAAGGCAATGCAATAATCATGGGTGACATTGATCTACATATAGTCAGCGTAAATCTAATGAGCATAATGCTTTGGAGGAAGAGTTCTGGAATACATTTGAGTTTTCTCAAAATGTTGAGGAACCAATCAGGGCAAAGGCCACTTTACATCTTGCATTATGCATTAAGGAATGGCTAATTAATAATCTTGTTGTTAAAGAATCTTTAGGGAATGCGGACCATAATATGTTAGAATTTTCTATGAAATTTGAAAAAGGTGTAGTTCAGTCAGAAAACCCATCTTAAATCTAAACCAGGTCATTTATTAAGGTTTGAGGAAGAATTTTGCTATGATAGATTAGAAAATTCATCTAAAGATTTCACAATAGATGAGCAGTAGCTAGCAGTTAAAGAATCATGCTCGTTTCTCAAAACAAACATAAATTCCTATTCGGCAAAAATACCAAATGGGTAAAGAGAGAGCCATGGCCAATAAAGGAAGTTGAGGATAATAGATCAGTGGAGGAGATTGATTTCTCCCACTCATCACTATCAACCACTGTTCTGAGGCTAAGTGGGTATCTCCAATATCAAATGGAATCTACATGAGGATCATCAGTTTGAAGTACAAGTTTCATTCTGCTGAGCAATTTCAGTAAGAACAGTAATGGGGCTGTTGGATTTAACATTGGACCCTTGAATTAGGGTCAGGGAAAATTTGAGATTCTTGCTTCTGACTGCTATGCAATGCTCCCTGCTGGAAAAAAATATTTCAGGTAAAGGCAGAATCAGCATTGGTATTATGACTCTATGCCTACCACATAACTTGCTAATAGTCAACTGAGTTATGTCTTAAATATGAAGGCTGGTTATGTATTGGAAAACTGACCACTACAGTCCATTCTGTAGTAGAGTCATTGGACCCAAACGTTAACTCTGATTTCTGTCCACAAATGATGCCAGACCTACTGAGTATTTTTTCCAGAAATCTATTTTTGTTTCTGATTTCCAGCATCCGCAGTTCTTTTGTTTCTTTTACCATTACATGTCGCTAAACATAAACCACTATTTTGGAGGGGAGGGAAAGGGTCAGGAATTAAATTGGAAGGAAGTTAAATTTTTAACTTGCCTGTAGTGTAGTTGTAAAGTATGCTGCAATTGGTTGACCTTTCTGATATGTTAATCCTGAGCGTTTTTTTCCTTTTAGGTGATTTGTAATTACCCAGCATCTTGATGTTAACGATAAACGTGGATGGACTTCTCACCAGATACTTTGGATGTGGAGACAAATTTTGTTTCTTTGCACTTGAATTTTCTTGACCGAAGTTATCTAACTTTATAATTCAAGTGCTTGAACTACAGAGTTATCAAACCAAAGATTAAATTCATTACAATACAAACCTTGATTAAATATGATCACTTCAGTTGACAAAATGAATTCCTTCCACAAAGTGGACAGTCCAGAAAACATTTTTGACATGAACTATTCTTCTTGGAATGTACGTTGCACTGTGATTGCTGCTGGTTTTCTATTCTATTTCACAATACTCATTCTTTCACATGGGTTATGCATTGTATTGTCTGCTACCTACTATTCTCTGCCAGCAAAAGAGAAGGTCTTCTGGAATCTTGCTGTCACTCGTGGGGTTTTTGGAATTCAGAGCATGGTTGCCGGTCTTTGGGCTCTCCTTAAAGATTCAGAATTGCACGCTGACAAGATTTTAGGTCAACGGAACTGGTGTTGGTTCAATATCTTAACAGCAATTGGCTTCTTTATGTTGGAAAACGCAGCTCTTCATGGGTCCAATGTGGTTTTCAAAACGTTTGATATGGCTTTGGCTGTCCACCACTTTTTTGCCATTTCTGGTTTTGCCACCAATTTGATATGGGACAATATAGGTCATTATTTGCCCATGATGATATTATTGTTGGAAATGAGCACTCCATTCACTTGCATTTCTTGGATCTTGCTGAAGGTAAGAATATTCATATTGCTGCAAATACAAAGTATGCATATAAAGGGACCAAAATAACTCTGTTTCTTTTTAGCCTTTTTCGAATTTAGAATCCATTTCAGAAGGTCAAACAAAGACATTTGTGTTTCTGATAGATCATTCTTCAGAGCAAGAAACTAATTGATTGATTAATGCCAATTAAATTTCAATTATGGTAGATCTGCATTTTGAATTTAAAATATTAGCATTCTTTGGCTTCAGTGCATGCTTGAAAACTGATTTCTAATAGGTCAGCAGTTCCAACAGAAACATTGTGGTACTACGGTTGTCTCTGAAGTGCAGACATGGCTCTGCTTTGTGGCACATTTATGGAGTGTCATTATTTTCCGAAAAAGATGTTGTGATTCTCATAAAAACTGTTTCATAAATTGTATTATTTAATATTACAATAAGGAAGTACTTTTCAAAAAGTTTGCTTTTTGTGCAAAAAGCAGCATAAAAATAACTATCCAAACACGTAGAAAAAAAGTACCACTTCAGTTTCCATTATAGAGTAGACCTTAGATTAATTTGTAACCTTGGAGTTTTAGTTTGTATGAAAATTTGATTTACCTTGACTTCAAGGTTTAATTCTAAGGAAAGAAGTGCTGTTTTTACCTGGGTCAAATAATTATACAGTTGAGGCAAGGATAGATTTTGAGTTTACCTTTACCCACAATAATTTGAATTGTTTGTTTTAATCTTCCTTTTCCTAGGCTGGTTTTGCACATATTCCTCTCTGGAAATTAAACCAATGGCTCATGATTCACCTCTTCCACTGTCGTATGATCCTTACCTATCACATATGGTGGGTGTGCTGGCAGAATTTTGAAATAATAAAACTACACGTACCAGTCCCACAGGCAGTGCTGTTCTTTTCTGGACTTTTCCTCCTGACCTTCATAATCAATCCTCATTGGACACGTAAGAAAACAATGCAGCTTTTTAACCCAGTTGACTGGAACTTTGTGAAAGAGAAGGAGACTAGCGAGAGGGCGAATGGCGAAGCGAAGAAGGTTTTGAAGAAAACAACGTGACTTGAAATATGAGACTGTAATTTGGGGGCATAAGTTAAACTGCAAAATAATGTTCTTAATGTGCTAAAATGTACAAGTCTATGCCGTGATGCTAATATTTATGCCTCTGGCTTTCGAGTCTGACATCTAACATGGCTGTATGTATTAATTATCTCAGCACAAATGGATCTTTTTATACAAGCAAGAATTATGCGATAAGTGTCTTTCAAACTGAATGCAGACAGGTCAAAAAAAGGATCTGGGCAAACAAAGTTCAGACATTGGCTTCAGCAACAACATGAATAATTACTTGCCGAAATTGGAGCACTTGCCTGACATCACACTCTTGAGATTTTAGTTTACAATAAAAGAGTAGTGTCAAAGTAAGTTAAGTCTTTAAGAAAGTCCAATATGTTTTAGAGAAAAACTATTTGTAAAATAGTAATAAATCTCCATAACTAAAAAAATAAGTAGCGAAATAATTCCAAAGCATTTGTGGTAAATAGTTACTTTATTTTGCCACCTGAACTTGTTTGGATTCCTTGCTGTTTATTTTCTACATGAGAAAGTTGATGTAATATGATGTATTTACACCACCTATGTATTGTACCAACTTCACAAGGATGGAATCAACCAAATTCTGCTGTTACCATGTGATAATACTACAGAGTGTCATAATTACATCACAGAATCCCTACAGTGTAGGAGGACACTGACCCTTCCAACAGCTCCCCACCACATCCCACAACCCCACATTTACCACGGCTAATCCAACCAACTTGCACATCTCTGAACACACTGGACAATTTCAGTATGGCCAATCCACCTAACCTGCACATCTTTGGTCTTGCTTTTGAATTTCAGTATTTTATTGCCTAGATGCCACTGTGGATCAATGAAACCTATATTTTACATTGTTACCACCACTTGCTTAGTTGGTTAGCACTGATTCCTCAGAATGCTCTGGGTTCACGTTTCACTCCAGAACTTGAGCCTAAACGCAAGGCTTGACAGTTCAGTGCAGTAATGAAGAACTGCTGCACTGTTTGAGGTCTCCTTTTACAAATGAGATGTGAAACAGATACTCCATCTATCCAGTCTAGATCCTATGCCATTATTTTGTCAAAGAACTAGGCCTAGTTGTCCACCGTGTCCTGGTTAGAACATATTCCTCAAAAACGATGGCAGAGAACAGGTTGTCTGCTCAATATCAAAGTGCTGTATGTGCGATCTTGTGTTCAAATCGACGTCTGTACACCCAGTATTATTGCAGTGACTGCACTTCATGTAAAGCAGGGCTGGATGCCATTAAGGTTGTCTTTTTTTAATTGACATAGACTCCCTACTGTGTGGAAACAGGCCATTTAGCCTAACAGGTCCACACTGACCCATTCCCCTCCCTATCCCTGCGTTTCCCATGACTAACCCACCTAGCCTGCACATCCCTAAACACTACGGGCAATTTAGCTTGGCTAGTCCACCTAACTTGCATGTCTTGGATTGTGGGAGGAAATGGGAGCACCCAGCAGAAACCCACGCAGACACGGTGAGAATGTACAAAGTCCGCACAGACGGTCGCCCGAGGGTGGAACCGAACCCAAATCCCTGGCACTGAGAGGCAGCAGTGCTAACCATAGAGCCACCATGCTCCCCCAAATTAATGCAGGAGTTGGTCTATAACTTAGTAACTTCAGACAGCTGTTAAATTTCTGGGTTTCAGCAAATGATTGTCTTTGTGCTGCATTGATTCATTTGAAATGCATTTTTATGTATTTTTAGCTGGAAGATCCACCAAGGTTTGACAATGGAATGCAATTCAATAAACAAAGACCACTTATTGTTGACATTTTGTTTTGGAGTTGATATCCTCATCTCTCCACATGTTATATATACTGGCTTTGCCTGTTTCCAAACAATAATTTGGCTGTGCTTAGGCTTGCATCTTTAATTTGACTTGTGTCTACTATGGAAACTTTGATTTGGGAAAAGTGGACTGTAGTGGTGCAAGAATGTGGCTCACCACCTTCTTAAGGGCAGTTAGACTTGAGCAACAATTGCTGGCCTTGAAAGAAGGAAAATAAAATAGATCCAGGATCTTGTGATTTGCAAGCTCTGTAGATTATAACTCTGCGTTTTTCCACTTTTGATGCTGTTGGATCTGTCACTTCAGAGAAACATCACAATTTGTATTTCAACAATGTGTGTAATCTATAGCATTTTGCACAGTGGTCTGAAGTGTTTTTGTGATAGTGAGTTGCTTATTTAGCTTTGTCCTTTTTAAAGGTACTTGTCTGAATAAGTAGTCTTTGTTAATTGTAATTTTTTTTTAAATTGTAGACCAGTGAGCCTAACATATGTAGTGGGGAAAATTTTCGAGTCCATTGTCAAGGATCTTATACCAGAGTTTTTAGAAAGCAATGGCAGGATTAGACAGATTCAGCATAGATTATGAAGGGGTTATTGACAATATATATTAATGATTTGGATTAGGGAACAAAATGTAACATCTCCAAGTTTGCAGATGATACAATGTTGGGTGAACTATGATGAGGATGCAGATATACTTCAGCACGATCTGGACAGGTTGGGTGAGTGGGCAAATCAATGGCAGATACAGTATAATTTGGGTAAATGTGAGGTTATTCACTTCAGAAGAAAGAACAAGAAGGCAGATTACTACCTGAATGGCTGTAAATTGGGAGAGGGGAGTGTGTAGTGGGACCTGGGTGTCCTTGTGCACCAGTTGCTGAAGGTAAGCATGCAGGTGCAGCAGGCGGTAAAGAAGGCAAATGGTATGTTGGCCTTCATTGCGAGAGGCTTCGAGTACAGAAGCAGGGATGTGTTGTTGCAGTTACACAGGGCCTTGGTGAGGCCACACTGGAATATTGTGTGCAGTTTTGGTCTCCTTTTCTGAGAAAGGATGCTCTTGCTCTCAAGGGAGTGCAGCAAAAGTTTACCAGGCTGATTCCGGAGATGGCGGGACTGACATATGAGGAGAGATTGACTAGGTTAGAGATAACAACGTTTAGAGCTGGATGAACACAGCAGGCCAAGCAGCATCGTAGGAGCAGGAAGGCTGA